ACGTTTGCAGCGGGGAGCCCTCGGTGCCCACAGCCCTCTGGGACAGCCGCTGAAGTATCTGGTCCACTCCATTTCACCGCTCGAGTCCCCTTTCCCTGGGGAGGCAGGACTGACCCTGGTGTGGGCTCAGCTGTGCCCCCCCTCCTCTGCGCTCGGCATAGGTCTCGGAGCTGGGCTGTAAGGCTGTGGTGGGCAGGGACAGTGGGGTCTCCCACCCTGCTTCCTGGGTACCCTGCTTCCCTCCAGCTCCCCCCTCCCCATTGCACCTCCTAACACTCCTCCACCACTCATATATCCATGCCTGCCTACCCCCCACCCCCACCGGCTACATGTTTTTGTTGTAAATGCTGTATAGGAAATTTTTTCTCTTCCTTAGTTAGCTTTGGTTGGGTTTGGTTTTCTTTTTTTTTTTTGGACAGATTCATTCTTTTTTTGGGGAAGTATGAAGATTAACTCTGGGTAGACTCGGTTGTTCTCCCTGTGGTGGCTGCAGGGGCCTGTACCTGGGGGGGGAGCGTTTGGTTGTTGTCACCCCGCCTTGGGGACAAGGGTTTGAAGCATCTGCTTGGTGTGGTGGGTCTACAGTGCAGAAGGGGTTAATCTGAGGACTGATTTGAAATAATCTTTACTCGAGCAGGGCTATGTATCTCCTGCAAAGCTGCATTACATTCTGTACTGTGTACAATAAAGGATCTTGCTTTCCGTTCCTCCCTGCCTGCCTGGGCCCCAGCGTTCCCTGCGCCGTGAGCTGCTGCCTCAGAGCCTCGGCAGCTGATTGTGGGGGCAGAAGTGGTCCAGGGTACAGCCCAGCATGGGGGGCTGTGTGTCCAAGTAGGAGCTGGGACCAGGTGGGCATCCAGGTCAAGGATGCAGGGCTACCCTGTCCCTGCTGTGGATGCTGCCCCATCTCACAAAGCTGCATCCAGAGAGAGGATCTGTTTGAAACGGGGGTGGCTTCTTGCCAGCAAGGTGTGATTTAATAGTGCCTTTTCCTGAGTGTTTCTTGGCTAGTGGGTCTGGGCATCTCTGCCCTTTCCCTCTCCCCTGAAAACCCAAGCCTTCTGCCCCCAAACAGGGCTAAAGCTCAGGCATGGGGTAGGTTTGTTTGCTGGTGGGGTCCTGTCAGTGTTGGCACCTGGCGAGGTACTCCTGGAAGTGATCCCTTAGTGCTTACTGGCCCTGTTTCCAGACTGGGGAAAAAATCCCCATGGAGCAGCAGGAGCTGTGAAAGGCCACAGGAAATGGATGGAGGGCAAGGACTGCTCCATGAGGACTCTGCTCCTTCCCCTGACAGGCTGGAGAAAAGCTCAAACCCCCTAGAATGGCCCAGTCACCTTGGCTTCTGTTTCACTTGGTCAAAGCAGGCTGAGCTGGGGTGTCACAGAATGGTTTGGGTTGGAAGGGACCTTAAAGATCATCTAGTTCCAACCCCCCTGCCATGGGACCCATCCCTGTGTGGGGTGGTGGGGTGATGTTGCTGGAGACACCAACAGCTCTTCTCTTGCAGGCTGCTTTCTCAGCCCGGACAAACTCTCTCCCCTACACGTGGCAGCGGAGATATAAGGTCCTTGATGCTCTTATGTACTGCACCTCATTTCAGCCCATGCCTGGCTAACAGGTCCTTGAGCTGCTCTTCTGCCATCTTGCCTGAAGTACTGGGCTGAGCAGAGGAGCGTGGCTGTCTCCTAGCCCAGGTAGGGTGAAGCAGCATCCCAAACATCTGGCAAAAACAATTCACCCGGCATGAAGACTTCCGGTTTAATCAGCTGCTCGGCACCTGAAGGCATCTCCTCGCGCTCCCAAGGGATCTCCACAGCACCAGGCCTCGGTGAGTTGCCAAGCAGGTCTCTAACAGACGCTCTCCTGTGTGGACAACCCGTGGCCATCCAACAGCAGGGAGACATCCGGGTGGGAAGGAGCTGCAAGGTGAGTCTTCCTCACTTGGCCGGGGCTGTGGCAGGATGGCTGGGCACCCGCAGGTAGCAGCGCTGCCCGTACCCTGTACCCACACGGGGCGCTCTGTATGGCAAAACCCCAACCTGGGCACGCACCCATAGCTCGTGCTGGCCTCCCAACCCTTTCATGCTCTTATTTTCTACAAAGCTTTGACCACTGCCTAGGAGTGCAAAACTCTAGTTAAACAAGAGTTTTGTTTGTAAGAAACCTTGCTGGCAGGTTCAGTTCCAGACGACAATGCCTAGTAATCCCACCTCGACGGGATTTCAGCAGACTGAGTCCTGGTGCTCAGGATGGAGCAGGGGGGAAGCGGGGCCACCGGCAGCGCTGCCGGCAGGCAGATGGCCTGGCGCGGCGGGACCTCAACCCAGTGACACCACGAGTGTGTGGGCCCAGTTATGGACGGCGAGGATGAGGAGATAAGGCAAAGCCTTCACCGAGCAGCTTGTTCTGCTGCAACCCAACCGGCCCAGCATCCTGCGGGCAGGGCTGGGAGGCTCCAAGGGCATCCCGTGCGCCACTCTTGCCGAAGGGCAAGGATAGGAAAAGAGGTGGGATTTCCCTTCTTCCAGCCTGTCGGTGTGGGACAAAAGGGTTCAGACCCCAGAGGGTTTGATACCTCACTGACTTTTTAAGTACTGAGGCCATCAAGAATTGGGTCCTCGTTTGATGTGGCTGCACAGCGCGCCTCTCTGCTGCACACAAGAGGCTTTTGCAGAAAGGATGGAGCTGCCCTGGGCACATGGTCCCACTCATCTCCCAGAAGATGAGGGACAAGCCACAGCTGCCCCCCCCTCTCCTGCCTGCAGCCCCCAGCGAGGGGGACAAGTGCTCCCAGGCAGCCTGGAGGCTGGGCCAGCATTTGCTGGGAGTGGGGAAAATGGGGGGGGAAGTGGGTAGAAAAGCTTCCCTGCTCCCTGTGAACCTCCTGCCCCATTAACTGCCATTCCAGGGCATGGGGACAAGTCCTCCTCAGCCATGCTCTGATGTGCAGTGGGATGGGGAGTCAGGCCAGGGAGCGCTGCCATGGCCACCACCGCTTCCCTCCAGGACCAGGAACGGCCAGGGCTGCCACCACCACTGGGGCCACTTGCTGCCCCCTCCTCAGACACCCCAGCATCATCTGCCTCCTGCCTTCCTCCTGGCTGCTGAGGAGCATGAAGAGGAGCGAGCAGAGAGGATGGGAAAGATGAAGCAGGATTCCTGGGAAGATTCAGCCTTCCAGGCTGGGAAAGACCCTAGTGCTGGTGTCCGCCCCTCCAAACCTTCCACCTCCTACTGGGTTCATGTGGTAAGAAGACCGTCGGTGATTCAGGGTGAACAACAATCTGTGATACTGTGTGAGCAGGTGATAAAATGGCAGCTGATATCAAATGGGGAGAAGTGTGTGTTTCCTATTTTCTACTCTTTACAGTCTTATAATGCACACCAGGCCATTCCCTCCCTGGAAGAGGAGCTCACTTTCACCAGACAGTCGAAAAGCTGTTCAAATGAGAGGCGCATCTTAAAAATCATCTGGAGAAGAGGTGCCCGTAAAAGGGAGAACATCATTACAGCCCTCTACACATCCATAATTCACTGAGCGCATTTCTGCTCTCCCCATCTCAGAAGGATATAGCCGGACTGGAAAACATTCAAAAAGCAATAGAGAGCCAAAGGTCCGCAGCAGCTCTTGAAGAGGAGTGTATAAATAGTCCAGCGCTTCCGCCTGCGGCAGGATTTGTGGCTCAGGGACTTCATATTTAATAGCCCACTATAGAGTTTTCCATACCTGACCGGAAGAGCATTTGTGGGAAGAATTACTGTCCACGCGGCTGGTTCTTACGGCAGCCAGCAGGACCGGCGAGGCACGGCAGCCGGGACCAGAGGTGCCACGTGGTCAGAGGTAGCTCTGCCCGAGCAGCGAGATGCAGGTCCTGCCTGGCCAATGTCCCCTTGTCCCTCATGGTGGCCTCACGCCTGGGCTTTGCGGCTTGCCTGCTGGCTGCCCTGGCCAGGGTGGTGGGTCCTGTTGCAGCAACTCCTCTCTTCCCCAGCTCTTCAAACACTTGATTTTGATCAAGAAGAGGTTAATTTGGCTTTTAAATACCTGGAGTGACATGAGTGGCTGCATGTGTGAAGCCAACTTCAATACAGGTGAGCATCAGCAGAAACAAAGCAAAAGTTTGGGCTGGTGAGTAATTAAAAGGTGAGGACCAGCAGGCAACGTCCTGT